ACTATCAAACATTACCGAATGGAGAATTGTTTATTAATGTTTTCTCTAGTGTAGACAAATATATTTGTAGTATTTTAGCTAATTTTGTTTTTCAGATTTTAAAATTATTTTAGATTAGTTGTGATACTGTATGTTTCTTACGTTGGACTTTACTCAAGCATTGTTTTTGTGTACGTTCCAAATAAAATATCCTATCCTATCCTATCCTATGTGTCACTGGGTTAGTACAATATACCACATCCGTTCATATTTTGTAACATTTGTCATGTATATTTATGTTATACTCACATTGTACATCTACATAAATTGATTTCATATCATTCCCAAGTTTATTTTCAGCAACACACGTGTATGTCCCATTGCTATATCTCTTAATGGCACTCAGTAATAGACTAGCATTGTTGAATTCTGTGCCGTCTGGATAGAACCACGTAATATTAGCTTGTGGTTCTGCATCTGCTGAACATGTTGCTGTGTAATCTTGGCCCTCAATAACTTTACCATCTTTGTGATTGGAGATAACGACTTCAGGTTTATCTACAAAAACATTACCGGAGAATTTATAATTAAGAAAAACAGTTGAACCTATTCTAACCATGTTGCAAGATCAGATCCAAAATTACTCCAAGTGTAAATTTAGTTTATTTTTTTTCTAATTTCTTTGAAAATGAGCAGAATCAATATTATTTTAATATTTCATTGTGTTACCACTCTACGTTTGATAAACCAAACACTCCAGCCCGTTCTTAAACAACGACATTCACAACAAAATGATATGTGTCCACAAACAATAAGAATTGGGTGACTTGCAAAGATGAATGCAATACGATTGCAATATAAACTACGAATCATTTCAGTAGTGAAAAATCAGATTCCCTATAGATATAGACAATGTTAGCAAAGTTATTCACTGATTTGTTAAAATATACCATTTGATTAGAGCCCCCTAACCGTGCTTCCCTGAACAATATGATGTGTTATACACTATCGGCGTAAGCAAATGATGGACACAGCATTTAGCTACAACTGTCGAAAATACGATTATAATACAGGGACCGAACATGCGTAATGATCAGCAAGCCAAACGTTTCTGGTGAATCATACATAATCATGTCCAGTTTCTTGTAGCTTTTATATACAAATGACTGATATGATACAAACATACGGTGAACAATTAAAGTTGTAGTGTTACTTCCCATTCCCAGACTATCATCGAAATATATATTTGTTGCTCTGCATTCATATTCGCCTTTATCGTCACGTGTTATATTGTATAGAGTATACACTGCAGAAGAATGTACAGCTTGACCATTTCTAAACCACGTTATGTTGTCTGTCATTGGATTGGCTTCCACGACACTACAATTAAGAGTTACATTGTCACCAACTTCATAGACTGTAAGCAGCGATATCTCTACAGTAGGTGGGTCTAAAATGAGACAAATGATATATTATATTTTAATTTATAATGTTTCATAAATGATTAAATTGGTATTTAATACGTAGTACACATTGCACATCTAGATGCATAGTGTCAGTATCCAATCCATGACTTCCATTCCAGAATACATTACTTGCATAGTATATATATTCTCCACTCATTGTTCGATTAACATTATAAGTTCTATAAAGTCACTGCTTCCGACAGTTTGGCATTTGTATTTCCACTCTACATTTGCCATAGGATTCGCATTGACGTTGCATATTGAAAAGAAATCACGTCCTTCAACTGTCGTCCATTCCGTATGATCTCCGGATAATCTACTAGTA